CTCTCTTAAAGTTTTAATGTACATATATTTTTAACCCCTTTTTCACAAGTATTCCATTAGTTATATGAATAAAAAAATTATTTAATCTCTTTTATGTTATATAATCTCTTTATATTTTTACACAATTTGCATTAGTTTTCAATCTTTTTAACTTTATTAAAATGGAGGCTAATTTAATTATATTTAAATTGTGGAATTTATTATATTTTTTTCAAATCTCATGAAAGATTAATGTAATTTACCTTTTAAAAAGGGAAATTATAATATACACCCCTTTAAAAAGGACATACCATATGCATTCTGCAATTATGTCATTCTATTATTTAATTATGATCAATTTTCTTTTTTAGTTATGACATTATTTTAATTATGACTTATGAGTTTTTTTAAGTTATATCTCATTTTGTGTTTAATTATGATATTTTTCATATTTTTTTAGTTATGATTAGAAAATTAAAATTATATCATTTTTATTTTTAGTTATAAGGTGTATATGGAGCACACCTTTTAATGGGTGTGCACACCATAGTGTTTCCCTAAAGAAAAATGTTAGAGATCCAAATATTTTGTCAAATTTTTTATCAAATGTCTTACATGGGTGTGAGACCCACACCATGTGAGTCTCACATAAAACATTTAATAGAAATTTTGATAAAATTTTTAGGATCTCTAGCATTACTCTTTCCTAAAAGAGATTTTTTTTTTTGGTTAGTACACATTACTTGAGATGACCCTTAATAATAAAAGAAAAATTAGGATAAATTAAACTAACATTAATTGAGATTTTAAAAAATACAATAAATTTTAAAATTTTAACATAATTATGCTAATTTTTCTTTTAGAAAAGCTAGAAAGAGTGAAATTAATGTAGATAATGTGATTAAATAAATAAAAAAAAGAAAGAATTGATTTTTCAACTTATCAGATTAAACCTTTAACCAATTTATTAATAAAATGGCCTAATATGTATATAAATAAATTAAAAAAAAATTATGAGTCTATGATTTTATACAAAATTGGTATTTTGAAAAACATATTCTCAATAGTAAGCCTTTTTTTTTTTAATTTATTTCTCAAATTCATGTTATTTCATATTTTCAATTAATTCATTTTAATTTTGAGTGAAATTGTGTTTTGAAATGATTCATTTTAATTTTGAGTGAAATTGTGTTTTGAAATGCATTAAAAATAAATAAATCATTAAACGATGCGTTTATAAAATCAATTGAAAATTGTTCATATGTGATAAATAATTCTTTTAAAGGTAACATGGTGGTAAAAATCTTGTATTCGTGAAAGAAGATAAAATTGTGTTTGAAAACACAAAAAATGGTTTCATAAATAAATTGATTTTGAAAATTAAATTGAAAAAATGTTTGATTAATAAATTGATTTGGAAAAGTATGTTGAAATTGTTTGATTAATAAATTGTTTTCGAAAAGTAAGTTGAAAATTGTTTGAAAACTAAGTTGGAAATTGTTTGATCCCCACCAAATTGATTTCGAAAATTAAGTTGAAAAATTGTTTGATTAATAAATTGATTTCGAAAAGTAAGTTGAAAATTGTTTGACAAGTAAGTTGGAATTGTTTGATAACCCATCCCCCCACCTAAAAAAAAAAAATAAAAAAAAAAAAAAAAAATTTGTGGCGTTAAAACAACTACGTTCATACCTACTGAAGAAAAAAATGATGGTTGGGTTAAGAAAGCTTCTAAATACACATAGAATTTTGTTTTACCCCCATTATTTTTGAACTGTGTTTTTTTAAAAAAATAATTTTTTCACTTTTGGTCCTCTTAAACTAGGATATCATAAAACTTAAAACTAAAATTAGACAATTTTTGAAAAAGACTTGGTTGGATTGTCTTTAGTTGGCTAGTCCAACTGGACGGTAGTCCGGCCCATTGTGGGCCTATTTTGGGTCCGTCTCGACGATCCAAAATGTGTAGGACTTGTTGAATATTCTATACCTGTAAAAAATTACATTAATCGGATATGAATAGCTATTTGATCAGATTACATTTGTACGAGCAATTTATTTTTAAAATCATAATTACTGTTGAAGTAAATTTAATATGATTAAGTGATTATTGATATCTGATCAACGTTAATTTTTTTTGTAAGAATGAAGTATTTAACGAGTTTTACACATTAAAAGACTCGGATTATCATATAGATTTCTTAGTGAACCCATGGAAGCCTAACAACACGCTTCAGTCTAATTCTGGACTAAGGGGTGTTTTGGGAACTTGGCTTTTAGCCACTTTTTTAGATTTGTAATAAAAGCTAAAAGTTGGCTTTTTTATATTTTTTTTTATTTAGGGAGTTGATTTTCAGTCACTGATAAAATTATAATTCTACCTCTCATGAATCAAAATGTGTTATATGGATAAAATTGTAAATATTTTAAATTGAATGTGAATAATCTGGTCATTTTATTATGATTTGACATCATAAACAAATATTAATAAAAAAAAGTCAAAAATAATTTTTTATCAATTTCTTAAATCATTTGTTTAAAAAAACAAAAAACTTGATTAAAAGTCAAAAAATCACTTTTTACTATATTCTCAAAATAGGCCTAAATCCACTAAAGATGGAGAAAGGACTAAGGTGGCAATGAGTGACGAAAAGGAGCAATTGGGGTCTAGGAAGGACTTGCCGAGGTTAAATAGAGGTTGGAGTGGCCAAAAAAAAAAAATGGGAGGAGCAAGTGAGAGTAGGCAGGGATTGGGGATGGGCGGGAAAAGGTGGTAGGAGTTGAAACTGACAACCGAAAATAGTTATGGTGAGTAATGGTTGGGTTGGGAGTGGGGAGGTTAGAGCATCTCCAACGGTTCACCAAACATTTTATTAAATTTGAGTAAAAAAATCACAATTTTTTCAATTTGGTACCAGATTCTCCAATGGTTCACCTTTCACCAAATCTGTCCTGGGACAACCGGTTGGTCGACTGGGCGGTCGACCAGCTGGTCGACTGGTAAGGGAATTTTTTTTTTTTTTTGAATTGTTTGAACCAGAAATGTTGAACTGTTTGAACTCTTTTCGGGACAACCGGTTGGTCGATCGACCGGTCGACCGGTAAGCCAAATTTTTTTTTTTTTTGAATTGTTTGAACCAGAAATGTTGAACTGTTTGAACTTTTTCATGGACAATCGGTTGGTCGACCGGTTCGTCTCCCTCCAACAGTCATGTACAGTGTTTTGATGAAATGCGAAGCCTGTCCTCAGTTTGATGAATCGTTTGGTGAAATCTCATTTTGATATCAATTTGGTGCAACCATTGGAGCACCAAACAGTAACTTTTTCATCAAAATTTAAATTTGATATCAAGTTTGGTGAACTGTTGGAGATGGTCTTAGAGCTGAAGGTTTGGAGATGGGAAATGAAATAAAATTGGAAAATATATATAAAGGTTGAAAAAAGAAGAAAAAATAGAAAGACTTCCCTCTAAACCATTAATGGATTGGATCATTGGAGTGTTTCTTTTGGTGCTCTCTGATACATTTTGAGTTCATTTTGATAATTCCGTTTGGTTTAAAATTAACTGTTGTGTCAATAGATCATTTATATAAAAAATTATATTGATTGAATATAATTATTTACATGTTTTAATCATATTCTATTTTAAGAAACTGAAATACAAGTATGTATTAAAAGTCAAATTTTGCCTTTTAACATATTTTAAGTCATATCACTTCTTTATTTTCTTACAAATTTTTTCAAAAAAGATAAAAAAAATAAAATTAAAGAATCAATTTTTAACCAACTTCTCAAAAAATCCGTAATAAAAAATAAGCCATCTATTTTCTTTAGATTAATATAATCCAAACATTTGATTATTGATATCTGATTAATTTATTTTTTTAATAAATAATCTAGTAAAAAATACTAAATTTAAAACGATTTACATCACCAAGACAAACTGAATGAGCCCGCAAAACACCAAATTGAGCCTATGCCAAAGTTTTGGAAAATTCTATTTGCATCATAAAATGATTAACTACGTTCAATTTCTCAGTATATTCTATTAAATTATTTAAGATTATAATTTATTTTCAATACACTTTATGTTTTTTTTTTTAAATTATCTTTCAAGATACACTCAAATAATAAATAAATCAAAAATCTCAAATTACACTGCTTTAGATTTTTTTTTTTTTTTCTTCTCTCTCTCACAGTGCTAGAACCCTAAACCATCCGATAAGAAGAGGAGGGCCGAACAGAGAGACGAAACAGAAAATCCACTAACCAATCCTGAGCCCACCACAATATATATATATATATATATATATACTTTATCATCCATTAACGCAAAAAGTATGTATTCAAATCCAATCAATTTCCATCTCTGCATATCACTCTTATAGTCCCTATCAAACAACAACAACAACAACAACAACGAAAGATGGAAGGTGAGATCAAGAACTTGATTCAAGTATAGTTCTCAATCACAGCCTCCATTTGTTCATCAACCAAAGACGGTTGTTTCTTGGATGTCATAGGATGCAAAAACAAGATAATCTTCTAAAAATTTATCAACTTCAAAGTTCAGATACAACTACTCAAAATGACAAAAGTAAAATATCTATGTAATAATAATATTAATGATAATAGTGAGTTTTTGTTGGGAAAATTGGAGTGTGAAAAAAGATAGAAAGAAAATAATTGAAATTTAATAAATAAGATGGAGAGAATTGAATTTGAATATATTATGAAAAAAAGAAAATTATTTTAAAATTTAATATGTATTATTTTTATTAATAAATTTACATTAGAATAAATTTTAATTGAAAAAATTAATTTTAAAATTTTAATGAGTTATTATTTGGTACTAAAGTTATTATTTGATGCAAAATTTTCTCTTTACTATTATTAGCAGCAGTGTTGAACAATTGGGCACCACTTTGTGGACACTTTTGCCCTTTTACCCTCGCCGAAGGCATCGTTTGACTTCTACAGCAAACGACACAGAAAGATAGCATTACTTAAACAAACCCTGTAACCTTTATTATCATCGTTCTTATTCTAGTCTTCTTCTTTTTTTTACCCACTTGTGTATTTTCTCTGCTTGATGGTAGTTCAGTCATGGCGGTCGAGCTAGCAATGAATTACACAACTCATAGCTTCATCTCTCAACTCGAAGAAAACGCTGTCGTACAAGAGGCTGCCTCTGGCCTCGAAAGCGTCAATAAATTCATAAGACTTCTCTCTCAACAACAACAACAACAACAAGAGGGTCTATTATCGGCTGATTCTGAGCTCAGATCTTCCATGGCGTTAGAGATCGATTGTAGAGCTGTTGCTGATACGGCTGTCAACAAGTTCAAAAGGGTTATTTCTCTTTTGGGTCGGACTCGAACCGGCCATGCTCGGTTCCGAAGAGCGCCTCTGATTTCGCCCCCAAATCGAATCAATGAAGTTTCTGAAACTAGGGTTTATTGTCCAACCCCAATTCAGCAAGTTCCTCTTCAGTCTCACCACCACCATGATCAATTCGTGATGGGGAAGAATGGAGGAGTTGAAATGAAGGATGTGGGTTCCAAGACCATCAATTTCTCGTATTCTTCGCCGGTGATTTCGTCGTTGACGACCGGTGATACGGATAGCAAGCAGCCTTCGTCGTCGGCGTCGGCGTTTTTGATTTCCAATCTGTCTCAGGTCTCCTCGGCCGGAAGACCACCGCCGTTGAAGAGGAAGTGCAGTTCGTCCGAAAACGCCGCCTCCGGGAAGTGCAGCGGTGGCTCCGCCGGCCGATGCCATTGTTCCAAGAGGAGGTCTGTTCTCTCTCTCTCTCTCTCTCTCTCTCTCTCATTCATGTGGGTTTGATTTTGATTTTGATTTTGGATTTGGATTTGTGGAGTCAGAAAGCTGAGGCTGAAGAGGGTGGTGAGAGTTCCGGCGATAAGTGCAAAGATGGCGGACATACCGCCGGACGATTACTCATGGAGGAAGTACGGCCAGAAACCCATTAAAGGGTCTCCGCATCCAAGGTACGTAAATGGCTGAGTCGACTGGGTAATTCGGTTTTTTGGACTGGTTCACATGTGATAGTTGACCGTTTAATCTTCAAAGTTACTGTTTTAGTCTTTGGATGTAGTGTAATGACTTCATGGTAAATTAGAGCGAGTAACCTCCTTTTAATTTTTTTTTTAAAAAAATTATACTATCATTTATTATAATTAATTTTTCTTAATTCCTTGTTCTATGGATGAAAAATGAGATTGTTTTATATTAAAATATAAATTTTAATTTTGATTTAAAAAAGAAGAATTATAACTCAGTGTAATTTTGTAATTTTTTTAAATTAATAATTAAATTTATAATTTTTTTCATTAATCTATAAATATTTAACAAAATTTGCACCGGTGTGTAATTTTTCTTATAAAAAAAATAATGATAATACTACATACAACAATTAGTATATTAATTAAGGTATTAATATATGTTATGACATTATTATTGATTTCACTCATTGGTCTCGTTTGGTAGAGCTGTGGAAAGTGATTATAGCTTATAGTTGATAACTGTGAACATAAGTTAATTTTTGATTTATAAATTAAGTTTCTCTTCCCCACTCAAAGAATAAGTTGATTTTTGACTAACGAAACGTTATAAGCTGTATAGTTAAGTTGAACCAAACACATCAAAATAGTTTAAATTAAGCTAAAAACTGAAATAAGGTAGAAATAAGTCTTACCAAACAAGACCATTATATAAATTATAAATATCTAAAATATTTAAAATTATATTATATTATGTATTAGCACAATAATTAACAAATCAATCGATAGATATAGGCTTCGTTTGGGAAGCCATGGTTTAGGTTTTTTTGGCTATTTTAGCCACAAAAAATAAAATAGGCTATTTTAGCCATAACAAACAAAACATCACATCCAACTCATAATCATTACATTCTTCTCTCACAAAAAAACTCAAAAAAGTCAAAAAGTTCTTCCCAAACTAAGCTTTTAAGTCCAGGTTAAAATAACTAAAAAAGTCAAAAAGTCAAAAAGTCAACTCACTTCCCAAACGGGGCATAGTATTATTTAAAAAGTAAAAAAAAGGAAAAATAAGATTAACACTGCAGCGTGGAATCCACTAAAAACATGTATCCACAAGAATTTCCTTGCTTTTGTAAATGTGTGCCTTATTTTCCACTGACATATTATTCTACCAAGAAAAAATTATATTTGAATATAGGGCAAATTACATATACACCCCTCGAGGTTTGGCTAAATTACAGATACCCCTGAGGTTTCGGAAATTACATCCCGCCCCCTGAGGTTTGTATTTTCATAACAATTTGCCCCCTGAGGTTTATATTTCATAACAAATTACCCCCTAATTTCTTATGCAAATATAGCATTCAGGGGGAATTCGTAATTTCTCAAACCTCAGGGGCATCTGTAATTTAGCCAAACCTCGAGGGGTGTATATGTAATTTGCCCTTGAATATAATTACGATAATCTCGTCAAGCTTGTTATATATATATATATATTGGAACTTTATTTTAGGATGGGTTTGGTTGTGAGAGAAGACTACATAAATATTTACCTAATAAAAAAGATGATAAATATTATTTTAAGAACATTTATTTATTTTTTAGAATATAAATGTAATTTAAATATAAAACTACTTATGTCTTATCATATTTTTTTTAATAAATATTTTATTTAATATTTTAGAATATAAATGTAATTTAAATATAAAACTACTTATGTCTTATCATATTTTTTTTAATAAATCTTAAAAAATAAACTATTTGAATTACTTCATCAGTCTCAAAATGAGCCACTAAGCTCAACTAAACCCGCCAAAAATGTTGGATTGGGCTTTTTTTAGTTATTTTAGTCACAAAAAATAAAATAGGTTATTTTAGTCACAAAAAATAAAACATCACATTCAACCTATAATTATTATATTCTTCTCTGACAAAAAAAAAAGTTAAAAAGTCAAAAAATCCTTCTCAAACCAAACTTTTTAACCCAAATTAAAATAGTTAAAAAATCAAAAAACTAACTAAAATAGTTAAAAATTCAAAAAACTAACTCACTTCTCAAACCAACCCTAAGGCCCCGTTTGTTTTGGGTGAAAGAGAGGGTATTGGGATTGCTAATACCAAGGTATTAGTAATAGCCTTGTTTGTTTTGGGAGAAGACCTTGGGACTATTAGTTCCTTGGTATTACTAATACCCTTGAAGAGGGGATTGGTAAGGAGGAGATAGAGATGGTATTAGAAAAATAGTGAGGCGATTAGAAATTTTTTTATTTTTTTTATTTTTTATATATGGGAAATTTTTTTTAAAATATAATTTTTAATTTTTTATATTTTTTTATTTGTTTTATTATTTTATATAAAAATAATTTAACAATTCATCACTATTAATTCTCTCACTATCAATCTCCTCACTAACAATCCCCTCACTATCAATTCCTTCCATTCTATCTCCCAAAACAAACGGGGCCTAAATTTCTTGGTGGATCATCAAAAACCAACAACACGGTCTACACTAAAGAGAAGCTAAGATAAATAAACATGTACGGATACTGATTTTAACTGATCTCAGGAGTCGTTTGGCAAGTAATAAAAATTAAAAAATTATTAAAAAAATTTATAATTTATATCAAAAAGTTAAATTTTTTTATTATTTTTACATTTTACACATTTTTTCGTAAATAAATTAAAAAAATATTTTATACATATAAATTTTTGAGGGATGCACCAATAAATTCTAAATTAATAACTTATGCACTGTTTAGTTCTAAAAATTTTCTTATAGACTGAAAGGTCCCATTACAATGTTAATAACATAAGATACAATGTTAATAACATCAGAGTCATGTTACAAACATTGGATTTCAAACATCTAATGTTCATCAAATTTCAATAATGTTTGAAAATATAGGATGAAAAACATCTAATGTTCATCAGATTTCAATAAATTTTGAAATTATAGAATGAAACATCAGATCATTTACATCATTCACATCATGTTGATGTAAAAATGGGACTAAATGGAGCATAAGAAAACTTCTAGGACTAAATGGTTCAACGTTGCAAAAACTAGGACTTATGGGTAAATTTTCCTAAATTTTTTTACTTCATATTTTAATCAAAAAAAAAATTATTAAAATAAACTATTATCAAACAGACCTTCTCCGAGTAATAAGTCGACTCGTATGCTAATGTAAATTGTTTCTGGGATAATTGTTTGAAAAAAAACAGGGGATACTACAAGTGCAGTAGTGTGAGGGGTTGCCCAGCACGAAAACATGTGGAAAGAGCTTTGGATGATCCAACGATGCTGATCGTCACCTACGAAGCCGACCACAACCATTCTCTCTGTGTTGCTGAAACATCTGGTCTCATTTTAGAGTCTTCTTAAAACTGTCAATTGCAAAAAAAAGAAAAAAAAAAAAAGTGTTTTTACTTGTGTGAAACTAGGAATGTGTTGTAGATTACTACTACTACTATTATTACTAGTTAGGTGAGTTCAATGACTCAGCTCTCTCTATCTCCATTTTAGTGGGTTTAATAGTTTATTCCTTGTACGACACTGGATTCTCTGCTTCTCTCTTTCTCTTTCTGTTTCTCTTTTTCTCTGTCTAAATTACTGTGAATCAATTAACAATTCAAAGAAAAAGCAAAGAGAGGTGGTGGGTTTGGTAACATGGTGCAAAGAAAGATAGTGGGCTATATTCTCTCTCTCTCTATGTTGTTTTTTTTTATAATTTTCTTATTGGTTGCTTTTATCTTTGGGTTCTTGTCTTTGGATGCCAACTTGCCAAGTTTTACTTTTATTTCTGATTATTTAGGCCTCGTTTAGAAACTTTTATTTTTAATAAAAAAGTCAAAAAATTATTAAATTAGTAAAAAAGTCAATAACATATATTAAAAAGTTAAAGATTATCTTTTCTTTTTATTTTTTGTACATCTTTTCATAAAAAGTCAAAAAATTATTTTAAATATATTAATTTTTTTAAACTTATATTTTAACTAAATAGTCAAAAAATTATTAAATTAGTCTATTCTCAAACGAGGTTTTAGATATCATCATTGCAGCTTTTTTTTTTTTTTTTACGGCACCATACCATCGCAAAAACTAAAATAACCATTGGCGATCGGCGTCCGTAAAGGACAGGGTCAAATTTCAAAATAAGATGATGGCCGACGACATGGGGTGGAAGATGTCGTGTTTGAGAAGGTTGACCAAACAGGGGCTTGGTTGTTGGGGACGGCTATTCACCATAATTCCATACTCCTCTTTTTTTTTTTTCTTTTTTTTTTTGTTTAAAAAAAAATAATCATTAGGTTTATCTTTGTTTAGTAACTGTTTAAAAAGTTTTTTTATTTTTTTATTTTTTTGTCTTTAATAAAAAAAATTAAAAATTTCATTAAAAGACAAAAAGGAAGCCAAAATATTTTTTTAAAAAAAATCAACTTATGCAAACTTTTCTACTAACAAAAAAGTTAGTTTTTTTAGAATTTGTTAAATGCATCAATTTTTTAAATAATTTTATCCAAAAAAAAATAAAAATAGAAATAACTGAAAAATCTGTGGTCAAACCCAACCTTGCTTGTAGAGAGGGGGTGGGTTTAATTTTACTTTATACAAAAAAAAAAAATTATTTAAAATAATATTATAATGATATTTTAAAAAGAATAATGTTTGGTAGCTCGAGGATTTCTCCCCCGAATCCCCTTAATGTCCAAAACGACGTCGTTTTGGGCATTAGTCTTTTTTTTTTTCTTTTTTTTCCTTCCATTTTCGATCAGCTCAGGAACAGGAGAAGAGAAAGAGGAGAGAAAGAGAAGAGGGAATGAAGAGGGCCCCTCCTTGCCGCCGCCGACCTGCCGATCGTCGAGCAGCTCCGATCGTCACAGCAGCAGCTCCGCCGTCGCAGCCCCACCCCTCGCAGCCCCTGTCTCTGCCGCCTCTGCCCCCGACCTCCGCCTCCAGCCCCATTTGTTGGGGCCCTTCCAGTCCCTCCTCCTTCTCCTCCCTCCTCCTTCCTCCTGCTTCTGATCTGAAAAAAAAAAAAAAAAAAAAAAAAACCAAAACAAAACAAAAATGATGTCGTTTTTGGTTCGGAGAATTCGGAGAGGAGGGGTTTCGAGCCACGTAACACTGTCGTTATAAAAAATTATAGCATTACAAAATGTTACGTAATTTTTTGTAATGATAATCTTATATAAAAAATATATATTTACAAAATTATCCTCTATATTAATGTATTTTATTTTTGTTTGTTTGGCAAACGGGTATTGACAAATTAGTTGAGTGGCTTCAAGAAGACTGATGGGTGGTGTGAAAGGGCTTGAACCCCACTCTAATCAATGTGGGAAATGAATGTGGCAAAGTCAAAATGGGGGTGTGGTGGAGTTAAAATACATTTGTGAGGGGTCCACAATGCCATTCTCATTTGTTGTTGCTTTGTCCTTAGCCTTTCCCTAATGTCAACTATTCCATGTAAAGTGGTCCCCTTTAGTCATACATCATTGTCACATTCACGGGACTATTTAACATGAGATGAAAGGAGAATTTTTCAATTAATTTTCTTATTCAAAGTTGTGGATAAGATATTAAGGTTAAATTTGACAATTCAAAAATAATTTATTTTTTTATTTTTTTATCACATTATTTTTTTATTTTTTTACATATTTTTTTATAAAAAGACAAAAGATATACTTATTTAGATCATCCTAAATAACCCCTAAATTGTTCAAAATCACTATGTCATTAATAGTTTTAGGATTGTTTGGAAAGTGGATTAATTTTTTAATTTTTTATTTTTTGGTGGCCTCGTTTGGGAACAGGTTTTTTTTAATAATTTTTTGATTTTTTGGCTAAAATGTAATGTAAAAAAAAATTAATATGTTTGAAATAACTTTTTAACTTTTTACAAAAAGATGTGCAAAAAGTAGAGAGAAAAGAGAATTTTTGACTTTTTGGTATGAGTTGCTGGCTTTTTGGTTTTTCTAGTGACTTTTTGACTAAAAAAGTCACTTATTAAACGAGGAAAAGTTTTGTTTGGAAATAATTTTTTGGCTTTTTAGATTTTTTGTTAGAAAAAGAATGTAATGATTATGAATTAGATGTGGTGTTTTGTTTTATTAGACTAAAAAATTTATTTTATCTTTTTATAACTAAAATAGCCCCAAACCCAACCCAACCCAACCCATCTTCCCAAATGAAACCTTAATCAATTATGATTGGATAATTTAATTTAAGTGAAACTTGAGATCTTCTATTTTCTCCACTTCAATAAAGCCGATTTGATTAAGTAACATCTCGAACTCGTTTAACACCATGCTTTGTGTTATATTAGGTAAGGCCCACATGTCTTTCATCATACACTGCAATGTAACCATAATTTACCAAATATTAAAGTGTCTTAAATTTTTGGAAAATTTATTAGAAAATTATTTTTCAAGTATTTGTATTCAATTAGTCTATAAAATATTCTTATATTCTAATAAATCTTATTATTTGGACATTTGATCTATCAAATCCTAATTCTTATATTTAAGGTATTTTATAGACATTTCTATCATTACAAATATTTTTTGAATGGTTAGTAATTTGGTAATGTGAATATTCATATTTTACAATGTAAATATTCACACTGATGTGCGAATATTCATATTGACAATGTGAATTTCACATTGACATGTTAATATTCATATTGATGGTGTGAACATTCACATCACGGAACATTCACAATGTAAATATGAATATTATTAGGAGTATTTTGGTAACTATGTCACTTATAGGACTTATTAAAGTATAAGAAAATAATGTGGACTAAATGAAATATAAGTAGGTGAAAAGAGATTTATAAAAAAGTGTCCCCAAAATTTTTACTCTAAATTTAATATTTTTGCTCATAAGTGATTGTGTAGGTTAAACACAATTGGAATCCTTTCTTCTTTTCCTTTTGTTTTCGCTGGCTCATTTTTCCTTGTATCTTTCTTCTTGTTACTTATCTGTTAATCTCGCCGCCACTATCTGTAATCCATTGCAATATCTATCTTTTTGTCTTTAATGCCTTTCCTATTTTCACTGCTACCACCCTAACCAACCTTTTACATTTCTTCTCCTTTATGTCTACCATCACCATCGCTTTGTCGTCACGAGCCTTTACAACAAATTGAATTTAATTCATTATTTTATTTTATTACAAAAGAAGTGATCAAATTATATTGGTAATAGTGTTGGCATTGCAAAGAGTGAGAATGGTCGCCAACTATTAGCAAATGAGAGTAGAGGTTATGGTTGGTTGGGTGGCATGAAAGGTGACGACAATAGGTGATGTGACTACATGGTGGTTAAAAGTGGAAAGGGACTCTAGCAGTAAGTAATTGTGGAAACTAAGAAACTGGTAGTAGAGGGTATCATTCGAGATCGTGATATTGAAAATATATAGAAAGAGTAGGAAAATAAATAGAAAAGGAGGTGTGATTACGGTAAGGGTGGCACTTGGTAAGAGTTGTGGCTACGATAAGGGTAGAGAGGCAATGGAGTAAATAAGAAGATAGAAGAATGGTAGTGGGGTGAGGGAGATCAAAAGAAGAAAAGAGACGGTTGAATGTGAGAATGCAATAAGATATGGGGTTAATAATTTACTAGGAAAAATACAAGAATTAGGGATGGCCACAGGGTAAGTTTAGAGCGGGTTTGCCATTCCTCGCCTCCGCCTTCGTAGACAAACTCCACCCCTGCCCCCGCTCACGCCTCACACTCACTACGAGTGGAATTTTCAACCCCACCCCCGTCCTCGTGGATACCCGATAGCCGCGGATATCCGACCACATTTCACATAGTTAAAAAAATTGAGAATATTTAAATCCTTGGCACACAAAATAATTTTTCTTGTTTCCATATATATAAATAGTGAGACTTATAGGATTATTATTTATTTACATTTAAACAAAACCACCAACTTTTAATATTATTTTCTTATATCTAATTATATTATATATATACATATATATATTATTAATTATATCGGGTTGGGTTTGGATCGAGAAAAGTGATACTCGTCCCCGCCCCACATAAGTATCAGGACGGGATAAAATTTGCCCCATTCGGGTGGGTATAGGCGGGCCCCCACAGATCGGACAAAAATGGTCATCCCTAACAAGAATGTGGAAGAGGATGTGAGGATAATTTATATCATATGTATTATACATTTTTTTGGGATCATTTTATGTTAAAGTTAATTTTAATATTTGATAAATGTATAAAACATGAAGGATAAAAAAGTAATTTCATGCTAGATTAAAGGCTATTTTGGTATATATAAAAAATAATAATAAATTATAAAAATATCAAAAAATCACTACATAAAAGTCAATGCTTCTCTCGATCCTTCTGAACGTCTTTTTATAAAAATAAAAAAATTAACTAAAACAATTACTTCCCAAAATAACCTTAAAATTCAATATAATTTTCTCAAACTTTGAAAAAAAAAAAAAATCGCTTTGTCACCTCCAACTATAATACTTGTGTCATTTAGCCCAATGAATTATCAATTTTAGAAACTAGTACTTTAAACTAATGAAATTGTTTGACTTCATCCCAAATCATTAAGAGAAAATTGGTAATAAATTAAATTTAAGAATGGTGTAAGGTATTAGATCTAGTGAATATTTTTTATTAGTGAACA